TGCTGTGCTCCCCAGGGCTCATTAAGCATTTAAGCAGTTGGTCCAGACAAGTGCACAGCAGCCCTTGCACGCTGGCTGGCTGGCAGAGCCCTCTGCAGCAGCTCTGCTTCACACCTTGATTTCTGCAAAAGAAAATCCCAGTCCTGGGCCACAAGAGACAGGAGGATGCCCAGAGCTGGCTGGGCTGGCTGGGAGTCTTGGGAGAGGGGAAGGAAGTCAGGAGAGAATTAGGAGACAGGATGGAGGTGCCTGTGATGTGGTGCTTTGTAATTACAACAAGCACAGTCTCCCAGAGCGTCAGATTGTGCCTGATGAATTGCAGAGTCGTTATCCTGTCCTGGCCCACGTGCCAGCCCTTCACCTGGTCTGGGGCTGAAAGATGCAGAGCAAGCAATGCCCCCAAAGCAGGAGCTGCCTCTGAGCTGCTACCAAGCCCTCCCCAGAGCGACTGACCCTCCAAGCCTGCTGGAGGGGTGCTGAAGCAGGTTGCTCAAAGCCCCCCACAAACCTGTGCCCTCCTGTCCTTCCTGGTGCTTCAGGTCTTCCTGGCTCCAGGGCAAAGGCAAATCTGTGCTCTCTCCAAAGGAGAGACCAAGGATGAGTGGGAAGCAGCAGGATGACTTTGTGGTCCTACAATAAAGAGCACTCCTTTGCCTGCTGTCCTTCTTCTCCCTCACCCCTCAACACAAATAGCACAAAGCTGGTCTTTATCCTGAAACTGAGCTTAAGCACCTGAACCTTTTCTCTGGAAAAAAAGCCCAAACCTGTTTTCAAGGGGTTGAATGACTCAGCCTCACCTTGTAATGGTGTTGTCTGCAAAACCACTTCAGGGTTTCATTTATCAGACACGATTAAATCTGTAGATGTGGCACTGCAGGGCTGAGCAGCAGAGAGGGGCTGGGGTACAGGCAGTGTGGGTTGGCACAGCCCTTCTCCAGGCTCTGGAGCAGGGCCAGGCAGGTTTGAGGCAGGTAAGTGTCTGGCCTCAAAGAAGCAGTTTGATGTGAACTCAGAGACAGTGGAAGGAAAGGGTAAGAAGATATCTCACTTTTCTCCCCATCTGAGCAAACCCAGTCTCTGTTGCCTGCACGTCTCCTGTTAGCAGAGCCTGGCAAGGTGACAGGGACAGCTCTGGGGCAGGGACATGGGGGTCCCCCTGGGGGCTGCACCAGGCTGGCAGCCACTGGATCAGAGCGTGGTCTTTGCCCCCTGCCCAGTCTTGCTGCCTCTGGGGAGAGCAGCCACAGGGCAACCTGGTGGTGGATGCCTGTCTCCAGGAGCCCAGTGCTGACAGCTGCCTGCTGGCTGGAATCTCGACTGTTTACAGAAAAAAACACCTCAGGCCTTGATTTGAGGGACATGGGGGATAATAAGCCTATTCTTGTCACTCCCAAAAATCCCCTGGTGGGGATGAGGCGCCATCCTGGGGGCCCCTGGGCACTGCTGGGGCTCTGGTTTTGCAGCTGCTGCTCCATCCCCCCGACCCAGCCAGCAACAAATCAGCACTGCCTTCGCCCTCCTGATGGGATGCTCGCTGCCTTCATTTTCTCAGAGCTCACTTTCAGCCCTGCTTCACTCCTCGCAGCGCTGGCTGCCTGCAGAGCTGCAAGGCGGGCAGGGGGGCTGTGCCTGCATCATCCCCCCCAGTGCTGCCCATCGGGGAGCCGCACTGGCTTCACCGGCCTCTCCAAGAGCCTCGTCAGCTCGCTCCCAGCGCCCTGCTGACCACAGCACTCATGGCTTGTAGCTGGTTATCTTGAGCTCCCATGCTCGTGGCCACCTGACACGCTGGCCCCACAGCCGCTCTGACCATCCTCAGGGCCCTCAGCTGATGTAGGGACACCGTGCCAGTGCCTCAGTTTCCCCAGAGAGCAGAGAGGATGCACTGGCTCCCTCCTCCCCGAAGTGTCAGGTCCGCTTAGCTCGGACAGTGTCAGGAAGAGGAGCTGTCACACAGAGTGGTTTGCTCTGCTCCCTGGGGCTCCGCGTTGTGCCTTGCGCCTCCCAGCACCGTGGCACCGCAAACATTAATGGCAACGGTAATCAGAGGAGACTGGGCCCAGCTCCTGGTGCTGGGAGAGCCGATGAGTGGGGATGAGGACTCCTGCACGCTGCCTCAAGCCAAGTGCCCGCTGGCCACCGCCTGCAGCCCCCTCTGCCCTGCTGGGCCAAGCATCCTGGGCTCAGCCTCACACAGCCAGTGGGGACCTCTCAAAGTCCTGCACTCGCCCTGGGGAGAGCAGGCACAGGGGGCACCGTGCTCTCCTTCTCCTCTGAGATCCTCCTCTGTGGACCCCTGCGGCAATGGCTTTGTACAGCAGCTCCCAGCCATTACCAGACTGCAATTAATACAAATAAATGAGATGAGCCAGCCACACTAGAGTGAACAGAAACCTGACTGACATATCTGCCAGGAATCATTTATTCTTCGCTTTTATCTTTTTTAAACACTATTTACTTCCTTGCAAATTAATCATAGATTGCCTTGGACCAGAGGCGACTCTGCGGCTTGGCCGGGTGGCCTCAGGGGACAGGGCAAAGGCGGCCGAGCAGCCCGAGTCCCAGCCCTGCCTCTGGTTAACAGGCAGCTCCCCTCCTCTGCCTCGGTTTCCCTCTCCCTGGCAGCCGCTGCAGCTCCCGCATGGCGCAGACACGACTGTCCATCTTGTGTTCTCCGGGGAGCTCACCCAGGACAGTCTCGTCCATCCGCTGAGCCTCTGGGAAACGCAAGCGCGGGAGTCCCCGCAGCAGGAGGGAGCCGAGCTGCGGCCCCAAGGCCAGCCAGAAGGATTCAGGAGCCCTGTTTTCCCCAGCCGCTCCCCCCCATCCGACGGGCAGCTCCTCTGGGACATCCCTCAGCCCCCGCACACCCCTCAGCCCCGCACGTCCTCTGATCCCGGTCCTGTTCCCGTCCTCCGAGCATCCCTTGCGCAGCCATCAGCGCTGCCACATTCCTCAGCCCCGGCCCCGACCCCGGTGCGCCCCGGGACCCTCCCAAACCCCGCGGGGGTCGCTCCTGTCCCCGCTCCGAGGAGCCCCCACGGGGGACGCGGGCTCCGGGACAGCCCGGGCTGGGCGGCAGAGGGCCCCGAGGGGACGGGGAGGAGG